TGTATTTAAAATAAAACTTTTCTAATTGAGGTAATTTTGTTAAAATAAATTCTTCCCATCGATTAGCATCAAGATAAGCAATATCTTCAACTATTGTCGTCAATGATAGAACTTTTATTTTCGAATTTAATTTATTAATAAATAGTTCAAATTCATCAAATGATATTTTTCTATATATATGAATAGAAAGATATGTTAAATTTGGTAATATCATTGGTTCAATACTTCTAATGTTTACATTTCGATTGGTACAACTCAAAAATTTTAAATAACGAATATGAGGAGTATAAGATGTTATAGCAAAAAGTTCGTCGAAAGCACAAGGATGATCCATAATAAGATGTTCGATAGAACTTATTTGTTCACTAGTAGCAATTGGTAATGAGATAGTTAAATCGTAATCATTGGATTCCGTTGCTGTAAATTTGATATATTTTAATTTTGGTAAGTTGAAAATTAATCGATAAATATCAGCAAGATCTTTTAGATTAGACCATGTATCGATTGTTAATGATAAAAGACGAGGTAAATAAGTTAATTTTGGAAGAACTGAAATTAATATATCTGATTCGATTGTATAAAAAACAAGAGATTCAAGACAATTAAATGATGAATCGAAAATGAACGATGAAATAATTTCATTAGTTTTTTCAGTCGACCATAAATGAACTGATAATATTTGATCTTTATTGAGAAGTAAAATTTTTTGGTAATTATTCATGAAGATTTCGTTTGATTGTGAATAACCAAGTCTTATTTTAAATAGAAGTGATGAAGAATTAAGTAATTGATGAAAACGATGATTGAGATTTGAAAATGAATGATAGATTTCAGTAGCATCGAAATAATCGAAGATTTCATAAAAAGTTTCATTGGGTAAATTTTCAATTGTACTTATCGACATACTAAATAAGTAATCTAATATTAATAAAATCGTTTCTTCTCTTTGTAACTTACGTTTCTTGATACGAGTGATATGTTTAATATAAAAATCGATCTAAAACGAATGATCTACAGAATAAAACGTGCACATGTTTGTTCGTTATTCTTTGTATACAAAGCAGAATGGTCGCGTATGTTATTTGAATTCTTTTTTTTTTCTTTCTATATAGAATATTTACGATGAATCATTGATAGTATAGATTATTCTCAAACAAAATGGATATTACATCGAAAGTTTTTTATTTTATTTACAAAAAATCTATTCTAACCATTTCAATTGCAAATAGATGTTATCAAGTACACGTTGAAGTTTATAATCTAAGAGAAGTTTTTCAGAGCCAATTGCTTTGTCTAACTTGTTGATGATGTTATCTTCTGCTGTTGGAACGTGAAAACATAATGAATAAAGATAATTATTCTATCCATCATTAGTTTTCTTCAAAATGGTTCTTAGAAATGATTCAGCATCTATGTATTGTTGCTTATTTTCCTGATATAATTTATGGTCTTCAACAGAATACGAATAAATCTAAGTGATATTATTAATCTTTCTTCAACTTTTCGATGAATATACTTTTTTTTTTCAATTTTTATTTACATTCAAAATTGTCCTAAGATACAATGACCTCAATATTTTTTTTTGTTCAAAGAGTTTTATTCAAGAAATATTATTGTACGATAACGTTGATCAGCAGATGTTGGATAATATTAATTAGAAAAGTATCTGAAAATAGTTTTTATTGATAAAAACACGTTTTTAATAATTCTCAGTGAATGGTTAACTCCTCTCGATCATATGTTTTCTTCTTCGAAATACATTGTACTGATTACAATTCGCGATTTCCTTCTTACACAGGATGCGGGTGTCATTCTTCAATAGATTCACACCCACAGCCCGATATTGAACTCCGTCTCTGGTGGACTTGTAGTTCGGAGTCTCGTATAGGTCTCTAATGATATAATAAACAACAAGGCATCTCTGGTCGCATATTCTGGAAGTTTACGATGACTATTCGGTGTTTTCCCAGCAGGATCTACCAGACTTCTCGAAGAAAATCTTCCGTAAGAACTAGAAACATAGAAGCAGCATGTCACACATCCAACCAATTGACTGAAAACTGCAGCTGTATAACTCATGCTCATGAATATCCACGATCTGATTTTAACCATGCTTACATGAACACACAGGAGCAATATTCGATCATGCTCACATCAGGGTTCATGAGCAATTTTAGGTCATTCTCGCATATGCACTTAATAAAGACTCTTCATAACCATATTTATTTTTATTCATACACATAATCAATAATTACGACTGAAGAGTATGAGAAAATATAAACTAGTTTGAAGCACAAAGATCTGCAAAAACATTTGTCGTTATCATCGTTTAAACTTATGTAAAACAATAAAAAATATTACCAAGAAGCAGAGTAAATTCTAATAGTACTCACTGTTTCTTACAGCACCTTATAGCTATAGTTCAATGAAAAAAAGACGAAGGAAATATTACGAGTGAAGGAATTCATCTCATCTCATCCGAAGTTCTGATGGTTATTTAAAGTCAGACAGCTTTAAAACGAATCAATTATAGTTTAATAAAATCTCTAAAGATGATCTTCTCAAACAAACGCCCTTATGAACGGTGGTTTTCCATTTTTTTTTCGTCTCATCTGTCGTTTTGTATTCATGGTTCATCGTATTTTTTTTCTTGTGGACTGTTTGCATCACAACTTCAGTGGGCTTTTTCTATGATCGAAAAAAATCTGGTCCTATTATTCATCAGAGACAAATATAAAAATGTTTACTATTCAAAACTAATATTGGCGATATTTCACAGTCTAATATAATTTGCTACCATAACAGACAATATTAACGCAGATCCATGAAGAAAACTCTCAGTTAATATTTCTTATTGCAATAATTTCAAATTGTTTAGTCTTTTGATCCTGGAAACTATCTCTAGAAAAGAATTTTTCGCAGTACTTTCATACACAGAGACTTTCTGCTATTCATCTTCATAGAATCTAGCGAAAAACTATAATATCACTTAGATATTTTATGTTATTGCATAAACTGGATATACCAGTGTGATTGAAACAATAACAAAAAATCAATTGTTTTTGTCAATAGTTTTTTAGAAAGAGGATAGTTATTCTTTAAGGACAATAGATAGAATATAAAAGCATTCTGAATTTGTCTATTCATAAAGACTAGATATAACAAGCAAAAACAAATTGTTTTGCTGTTAGGCTTTAATTGATGCTCGATGAAGTCTGAGTAATTATTGTTTTTATATCTTTTCATACTTCATCGTTTAATTCATTTTATTTGAATAAACAAGTTTTTCAGTATTTAAATATGTCGTTTAAGTTAATGAGTCGCGCAAACAATATGATTGTTTTTCAACTCTTTTCTCATAGATAATTATTCACCGTATAATGCTACCTGCAAATATGTTCACAATGTGAATACGGTGTGAGTGTGAGAATATTGAAGAATGATACGCCCAGACCGACACACACTTATGATGCATTGAGACTTTTTTTTGATCTCTACTGGAATGTTTGCTACGGTCTGTTTTGGAAAGAAAAGCTTTTAATAATTTTTCTTTTTTTTTTTGTTGCTATTCGTGACAAGTAAACTTCATCATCCTTTTTACCATATATTTTTTTCTCTTTCTGTGAACTTTAGTACTTTTTTGTCGTTCTGTGCAAGAAAAAGATGTTACCATAGGAATCCTTTTTTTTAATAGAACAAAAAAAGCCAGATGTATATTAGTGAAAAACGTCGTTAAGATAGTGCGAGAAGCGTTGTCAACATTTTTTTGTTTGAGTGCAAGTGAAAACTGTTTATACTCTCCATTTTTAATCAACAGTGTGTAATTAGCGATAGAAAAACAAAACTATTCCGATGTCAATAGAAGAACACAAAAATAATGAAGCATTGCTGCTTGTCTGGCTCGATCCTGATGTCAACAGTTCAGAGGCAAATATCAATGCTCAAAAAAAGCTTCAGACATGAATAAGTCATCTCAAAACATTCGACGATGCTGATCAGTGCAAAGAATATATTCAATCTGAACCTGTTAATCATAGAATAATTCTGATTGTAAGTGAACGATTGGGTTCTTATGCACTTCCACGTATTCATCAATTATCACAAGTGTTTTCAATCTATGTCTACGGTGTGAACAACGAGAAAAGCGAAGACTGGACAAAAATCTATTCCAAAGTAAAGAAACATTTATATGTTGATTAAGCGAAGCAGTATAAGATAAAATAGAAAACTTTATTCCTATGTTAATTTGAACTCAGCGATCAGTTCTTATATTCAAATCGAATTCGTCAAAATAGCTGTAGCAATGAATCAACTTTTAAAAAATCTCTTTCTTCATAAATTATATTTTAAATAACATCAGTAGGATTGAAAAATGTGCTCTTTTGTTACTTCAGTATTCTCTCGATCATTAGGAATCATTTTCGTTTGAAAATATTAATAGTTCATGTTTTGTATTATAGATAAAAGGTGTTATCACTGACATCAACGTGCTTACCTCTCAAATCCGTTGGAACCATGCTCGAAAAAGTTCGAACAAAACTGACGATTCAATAACGTTCAACATCTTCAATGGAAATGAGAATGACGAACGATCGACTACTGCATTGAATGGTCAATTTGTTCATTCTCAACTGCTTATCGATTGTTTGCTTCGTATAAAGGCGAATCCAAAGGACAAGAATGAACTTATTGCTCTGTCGGAAAAAGAATATAAAGACAATAAAAACGAATTAGCTATTGTTCACGAGTTTCAAGAGAGTTATTCGCCTGATAGATCTTTATGGTGGTACACACGTGAATCGTTCTTGTATCGAAAGTTGAATAAGGCTCTTCGCACGTTGGATATTGATGTATTGTTTGCATTTCGCTTCTTTATTCGTGACATTCATGAACAACTCGAACATTATCGATGTTCATCACCCGTTCGGATTTATCGCGGTCAGCTTATGGCAACCAATGAACTAGAAATGTTGAAAGCTTCAATTGGGCAACTAGTTTCAATGAATTCATTCCTCTCGACTACGACCAATCGTCGAGCAGCTCTTTCTTTTCTCTACTCTTCATCTCTATCGGATAATTTAGAACGTGTATTGTTTGAAATCGATGCTAATCCTCAGCTTGATGGTGTCAAACCATTTGCTGATATAAGTTCACTCAGTTATTTTCCAGGCGAAAACGAAGTATTATTAATGTTAGGATCTATATTGCGTCTAGTGAGCATTGATGTTGGTGAACGAGGAGTTTCGATCATCCGATCGACATTATGTAGCAACAGTGATCATGATGTGCAAGCTGTCTTCGACTATGTGAAGAATCAATATGGTGATGCAGAGGCAACTACTCTTTCATTTGGTCTCGTGCTAGGTCTAATGGGCAAATACAATGAAGCAGAAAAATATATTCGTTGTCTACTCAAAGAATTACCGCCAGATCATGAGGACATTGCTGCTTGCTATCATGATCTTGGCGAGATATTAGATAAAAAAGGTGATTATGATTCTAGTCTACAGTCGCATCAGAAAGCACTCGAGATTATGCTGCAAACACGCAGACCTGATCATCCAGATATTGCGACTAGTTACAACAGTGTTGCCGCTGTTCAAGTAAAGACTGGTAATTACACGGAAGCATTAGAATCATTCAGAAAAGCATTCGAGATTTGGAGGCAAGCATTTGGCGAAAACCATCCTAACATAGCCCTCTGCTTAAGTAATATGGCTGGTATCTATCAAATATCCGGAAAATTTGCAGAGGGACTCGATTGCTTGAAACTGGCATTACGTATTCGACAATATCATCTCCCAGCCAATCATCCTGATATAGCCGATACACACAATAATATCGGCCTGCTCTATTTCACTCTTGATCAACTTGATCTTGCCCTTGAACATTTCAATATGTCGCTCAAAATTAAACAAATATGTCTTCCTCCTAATCATCCTGATATTGCTATGACATTGAGCAATATGAGTCTCGTTTATGAGCAGAAAGAGGAATTCAATCAAGCACTGTCATATCTACAAAGAGCATGCAACATTTGTCATCAGACATTAGAACTTACTCACCCCTATATACTCCATATTGAGCGACTCATTCAACGTGTTTTCTCAAAACTAAAATAGAAATGTTCATCTTACTCTCTGTCTATCGATATAGCCCAAAAATAAATAAAAACAAAATTCATGTCAATCAAGACGACTGCTGAACACTTCGCATGAGCACAAATCAAACGGTCTGAATGAAAAATATCCACTCTGACAATCTTTTATCAAGAGTCGACTATGTTATGGGACTCTTTTATATCTGAATGGAACTTAATCATTACAGAAACAAAATTTTATTGCAATCTTTCTGCAATAAAAACATATAACACCATATTAACCTGCTGAATCGTACATGAACACTAGATATTTTTTATGATTGTTGGCAGTCTAACGCAAACCATGGTCAGATCTTTGCAAGATGTTTTACCATAGTAATATTTCTTCTTAGAAAGCCATCTTTATTTTGTTTTCAGCGTGTGGATGTGGATGTTGATACCGTTGAAAAGAGAAGCATCACACCACACCCACACCCTGTATTGAATTTATCCAACTGTAACTTTCGGAATTTACATAACGTTGATAAAACAACATTACCAACGATGACATTCATTCAAGCTCGAAAAGTGTCTACTAGTGTCGAACCAATTACTCTTATTAAGGCATGTAACTGCCTTGATACTTTTTCAGCAAAGAGATGTTGTTATCGAGCAGCAAAACTACAGTACGATACCAAAATGAAAGTATTTTGAAATATCTAATTTCAACTTAGTATTTTTTAGTACTATGTATTGAAGAATAGTTCAAATTTTTCTATAGAAAAAATTGAAATTTCATATTGTTCTAGGAGAAATTAAAATTAAAAATTTTTCTGCAAAATATATATTACAATCGGAACTTAAAAAAGTAGTATTCGCATTTTTTTCATCATCCTCTTGAAACGATTCATCATATCAAGTTGTACTTCAATTTTCAATAACCATTGCTGTTAGCTGAACAACTACTTGTGTGCCTCTTCGAACACCACTTTCAATGAAGCCACCATCACTATTTCCCACTTCACTGTTACCTAGCCACAATTGGTAATTCCATCGTGACTGTCTGCATACATTACTTGCGTATATATGATCATCGATACTGTCATTCGTCGAAGATGATGTGAACGTTCCATTAGTTCAATTGGTCATGTATACAACAATCGGATTCATTGTGTCAGAGCCAAATATCTTAAGGGTAGCATCAATCATCTGTTGCTTGATTGTATCAGGCAAACAAAAAAACAAAGAGAGCATTGTAACTATTACTACTGGTATCGTGCCATTCTTGAGCTTTGTTACGGCGCGAAACAGCAAATCCACTCAAGTTTTGATCTTTCCACCATACACGCTCGTACCGTAAAATGACCTTACATGTTGATGCCATCCGTGTACTACATTTATTGAGATGTTCCATGACTGCTTGTGGTAATTTTCAGGTTAAGTTTATAGTCGGCATTAACAGTTTGGGCACTACTTCGTCGTATGCCAAACTTGGAAAAACTTAGTTTATGTCTTAGTGTAAGAAATCGAAGAATATTCATTGATGAAAATTATCTTCAAAGCGAAATTCTCGTTCATATGCCTTGATTAGACACATTTACTTTTTATATTCATACAAATGATCCAATTACTAATGGAGCTCCTCTGCAGACCAATGAAGATATTCAGCATTCATTTACTAATAGTAAACGGTCTTAAATCAGATATTTGGCTGATTATTTCCGCAGGGTGGGTGTGGGTGTGGGTGTGGGTGTGAGTGTGGGCGTAGATAGAGGGAACACAAACACCAACATCCACACCCACACCCACACCCACACCCACACCCACACCCACNCAATGATGCATACACATATAGTCCACGGACAAAATCCAAGATGAATAAATAATGAAGCATTATCTACCATAATATGGTTTCATATATCTTTTTATAAAATTTTTCATTGTCAAAATACAAAAACTTGATTGCTTAGTTAGATTACAAAAAAGTAATTCATGTTGTAAATATCAGATTAGTTTGAGTGATGGTAACTCTCAGTAATCCGAGAGCCCGATGATTAACTGTTTACAATGACCGATAAGTAGTCATAGAAACAGAAAAATCCTGTATTAACTACTAAGAGTAACATTTTCTCCTTTTTTCATCGATTATAAATACTTGATAGCCTACTTCACCATATAAATTATATCGTTATTCACACAATTCTCGAATAATGTCTAAGACAATAAAAATTTGACAGATCTTCGATGTATCTTGCGTTCTCAGTGGTCAGGAGCTGGTTACAGAATAACTGATTCGTCTGTTGTAACCGATGAAACATGAGAAAGAAGTTCTAACTGGATCTAGCTTAGGAGACATTTTCACATTGTGTTGAGGTTTCAGGCAGATTTAGTGTGTCGGTATTATCGGACGCACGCCAAACTGTGAAAGAAAAATGTGAGAATTTAAAAATTTTTTGAAAAAATTGCAACTTCTTGGTTTATCGTGATGAATGAAGCGGTAAAATGACCGATAAAACTGTCGTTTTTCGGCTGTTTTCGTCGCATAAAAAACTGCTGTATTATTTTAGAAAATCCTATAAAAATTACTCATGTTAAAAAGCATACTTATATAATAATTCAAATTCTATCATTTCATTTGATAGGTATTGTAAATTTAAAATACATGTGTTACTTTCTAGGCTGCCTTTCGCTTCTTTCGTGTTGTCTATCCTTCTCATGTATGGCTTCAAGATGGTTTTACTTATGCTGTGATTATTCCAATTTTGTGGCTTATTTCGATTCTTTTTCTTTTACCAGTTCATGTTTGGCATGATATACAACTTATGCCTACGGAAAGTATCTGCGTGTTAGCTATTCATAGTGCTCGTGGATTTATTTGGTCTACTATAGTTATTTACGGTCTGCCAATGAATATCATCAGTATTATTTATTTTCAGCTGGCACGATTTATGCGCCGACCACCTCTGCCTACTTCAGCACGAGCTAAACGTGATGTGATTGTAGCACGTCGTATTGTACTTGTTGTATTTGTATTAATACTGGCCGGTGCTCCGTCTGTAGTGTTGGAACTAATGTTACCTTTTACTGATGTAGGAAAACCATTGTTTTATCGCATTTCGAATATGACTATAGTCATTGCTATGATTGCTCTTAGTTGTATGCTTGTCTATGTCACTCCTCAAGTAAAAGAAATACTCATGCGTATTGGAAAACAACATCAAGTAGTACCTACATATTCACAACCACGATTTGGTTTACCTGTCACAACTACAAAACGTTAACACTACAAGCAACAAAAATCATTACGATGAATATATTTTCTAAAATACTTTGAAGCCACAAAATATGTTCGTTGAAATAGAAAAATGAATGATGATGTAATACTTGAGTATTTACTTTTTTTAATAACTATCCACTGTATATGATATATAATATAATATAGTTTCAACATATTTTATTCAAATGTGGTATTAATATTTAGATGCCATATGAGAGAATACATTAATTAGTATAAAGAAAACTTAAATATAAATAATGATATTAATTGTTCAATATAGTCGTTTTATATCGAGATTAGAGGTTTCATTTTGACATTATTTTCATGAGATAAAATATTGCTATATATTTATCTATTAGATTTATTGAAAAATAAATTCAATTTAATTTTATATTTATATTTTTTGGATTCTGAAAAGAAAAGCAAAAGTGTCACCTCTAATCTCGATTCATTTTTACATAAAACTAGACAAGTATTAAGAATAAAAATAAGATGTTATGATTAAAAAAAATTAGTTTCATATTAGATATGAATTAGTAACAATGATAAGCAGATATAAGCTCAATAAAATAAGAATTCATTTTTAAATTCATAAATAATCTTAATGGACTGAAGAACTTTGAAATATAGCATCTTGAACATTTGATGAAAGATGAATAAATTTTTCTTGATTGGTTTGCTCAACAAAGACAATGAAATATGCTGAATCATTACAAATATATGGATTTGATTCTTGATGAAGTAAATTTTTATCAATAAAATCATCGAATCCAACACAATCATTAACATTATTCATTTCTGCAGAGCAGCGTTTTATAATATGTTGTAATTGAGTATTATTACTTTGATCAACTAAAATAAACTTAATATAACCAGTAAAAATTTTACAGACTGGAAAATTTAGATGAATATGAAATGATATAAATTTAGAGTTAGTTTTTCCATCGAGGTATATACGAGCCCATAATCGTTGACCATTCATCGATGTTTGAAATGGATCTGAATCAATAAATGGTTGTTTTCTATAAATAGCATCGTTAATCTTTTTGAATATTTCATCAACATGCCAAATGAGAGTACCATCTGTTGAAACAACTGTATTTTCTAATGGAATATGAAGCATTTGAGATGAATTTATACAGCATTGTATAGTCTAAAATTGACATCTTTTTTTTTCATAGGATAGATTTATTTCATGAGTTTTTACGTTATTTTCATTCATATGTGATGAATCTTGATGTTGTTCACTTTGTTCTATATGATGATTTACCTCGTTGTTATCAGATGATGAATCCATTAGAGCGAAAATCTTATTCATTGTCGTTTCATTTGATTGATGTAGTTTTTGATGTAATTGTGAGTCTAAAGTATGATTTGGGTTTCTATCCATACTTATGATCAATTCTCTTGCTGGAGACTGAATTGAGCTGGATACTAAACAAGTAAACAGTTAGAAGAAGAAAATTCTTTACAAAATCTAACTTTGATTTATATTTGGTAAAGTATTTGAAGCAACGTCTCTTGTGTTTGACAATTGAGGAGCCTCAGTCACAACAACAGTTAATTGTTTAACAAATTGTGAATAATTATTGATACAAGAGTCTTTTGAAGGTAAAAGTCCACAAATCTCTATTGGATTGATTGCAAGATCCATTAGAGCAGACTCATAATCAAGTCTTTTTACGCAGATAATGTTAATAATACTTTTAATATGTGTCTCACTAAAATAATGCTGTGATAATTGATCTTGTGGAAACTAAAAATAAATATTTAGCAGAAAAAATAGAAGATCTTAATAGACATACTAGATCAGTACAGCCATACTCATAAAGCAGACACCGATGAAGACTAGTTGAAGTTATTTCATGATTTTGACAATGGGTCATCCTTTCACCTACAATAACGGTTCAAAATTGTTTTTATCAGTTTTTAATACACATCAAAGAAGATCACACATTGTGAAAAGAGTCAAAGTAGTAGCCATTTAATTGTGATTTCAACTGGTAACGAAAATTTTTTTTTTTAATTCAAATAATGAGTTCTTGATCAGAACCTTTTGTCTATAAAATGAAATCATGATTCAAAAAATATTCTCAACTTTTGTTCGCGATGATTGATTTTTCAACATATAGAACACTTAAGAAAACAGGTACAAATTAACTTTTCTTCAATAATCAATATTATTATAAAAACTACGAAATCAAAATAAATTTCTTGTCAGAAATTTGAATGATAATTCGTCATTGAGTGACATAACTGAGAAGAATCATCAGTCATTTTCAACTCGAATCCCAGTCAGACATGCGTTGAAAAAAACGGCGTTTTTACGCGTAAAAAGCGCACATTTTTACGTTTTACGAAATTAGTCGTTTTTGGGGAAAATGAAGGAAGCTGGTGAATGTCAACGTTGTAAAAACCTTTCTTTGTCGAAAAATAAACGTTTTTTTTTTCGTAAAAATGTGCGCTTTTTACGCGTAAAAACGCCGTTTTTTTCAGTGCTTGTCTGACTGGGATGTCACAAAGTGACAAGGTAGAAACGAACGAAAAAATATATCATCAAATAGCAACATGAGACGGAACTAGACATGTATGAGATTAAGTTTTTTTCGTCCCACTTACAGTCCTAGTACATGTGGTTTAGTTTCAGTTTCTGTTTATGAAATTTTATTTATATCATATCTCAACAAAATTCTTCGGCACTTATTTCTTGATTTAATATTATAGAATATTTAACTATAATCTTTAGTTCCGGTTGTTATAACTTTTTTTCTCCTAGTTCTCGTCTTGCACAGTTCTAGACAGAACACAGTAGGATAGATCACGATGACATAGGCGAACATGGCAGTGTCGAATACGATAAAGTCTAAAAACAGCAAGTTACAGAATAGGGCGCCATAGAAAAAGGATTAGACAGTACAAGAGTCTGGAATCATAGCACAGAATAGAAAAAGATATTATTGTTTTCGATTATCATGTGACAGGTAAGTTATTACAGAGTGATAAGCAACGGTGAATGGCACATTTTATGACGATACAGCGGGGTAAACCAAGATAGCATTTAATGACAAAAATAGAACAGAATAGTCACAAGACCAGGGCGAAAGATAAAAAAAATCTAAACAGTATATGACTATGTGGAAACACAATGCCCATGCTGAGCTCTCTAATTTATATTTTGTCCTTGACAATTTGTCAATATGATTTTGAAGAAAAATAGTTTAGTTCACTGAAATTTCCTCTATGTTTGAAAACTTTTTTTACCTTCTTAATGTGAATATTCACGTGCTTTGAATAACTTCCTTCTGTTTGTGCTTATAAGAATAATCTAAAAATATACAACAAGTTAATAATAACTTTGAACATAACTGCGCGATCAAGATCGGTCAAGCACAAATAATAACAACAATCAAAGAAATAAATAAAAATAAAAAAGTGTTAACTATGTTTTTCATCCTTCAAGTACTGAACTTTATTGATCGTTGCCTCCAAACATTTGTGGTCGGTTGTTTAAATCTTCTCGAATAATAATATGAAGACGATACGCGTAACGATATCGAGTTTGAGCCAAATTTTTCTGATTTTCATTATCATAATAATTTCCAATATCCACAATACAAGCAGATAAGTCCCAAAGAATCAAACGAGTAAGACTATCAATATGTTGTAATACAGAAACAACATTTGGATATCTTTCACTCCATGCACAATATTCATTTAGAGATTTATTCGGACAATAGATATATATGTTTCGTACATACGAACGAATTAATATGGGTAGATATTCAATCTTTGTTAGATCACAGATAACAATTAAGTGTGGATCTTCACGATTATTAGAAACATATTGTAAACAGTTTTCTATAGAATCAGAATATTTGACTGTTCCTACAACCGAATTAAGATGATTGAAAACTCCATTGCGTCCATTGTCCACAACAGATAAACACGGCCAAATACCTTAAATCATAGAAAATTAAAAAAAACAGATAAAGGACGACGCTGAATAAGATCGTAAATCTGCGATTCATATAGATCTCACTTCCAATAGGATAGAAGGGCAGTGCATGTAATTCTGCAAATTTCTGTCTATTTCTTTTGTTTTCTCCGCATGCAATAAAAAACTTTCGTAGGCTAAATAGTCATATATGGATGTATCATTTTTGGATGTTTCGAATTATAACTATGGTGCTTGTGATCTTTGTCTTTTATAAACCTATTATGAAAATTAATAGCGCACAGCAATTATATAGTGATCATATTTACTATTAACTTCTCTCTTATAATGTGCCATCATACAGGTTCGAATTCGAACCTGTATGATGGCACATTATAAGAGAGAAGTTAATGGTAAATATGATTACTATTTAATTGCTATGCGCTATTAATTTTCATAATAGGTTTATAAAAGACAAAGATCACAAACACCATAGTTATAATTCGAAACGTCCAAAAATGATACATCCATATATGATTATGTAGCCTACCAAATTTTTTTTTATTGCATTCAGGATAAAACAAAAGAAATAGACAGAAATGTGCAGAATTACATGCTCTACCTTTCTATCCTATTGGAAGTGAGATCTACATGGATCGCAGTTTTACTATATTATCCAGCGGTATCCTTTGTTTTTACAAGAAATGTTATCTTTACCGGTATCTGAAAATGCCATCTGTTGTTTATATTGAGTAAATGGAGCAACAGTTTGACTAGATTCTACACTACTGTTTATTCCTATTTCTATTTCATTTATTGACGAACAGTTTTCTTCGTTACTAAATGGAATATCAGCTGATGCAGTTGATATTTGAACATCATCTGTCGGTTGATAAGTATCACATTTAGAATTGTTAAAAGTAATAACTTCATAGAATTCATACGGTAATGATGATTTTTTTGATGAAAAATTTATCAAATTTTTGATTGTTATTGAATTCAGTTCAAATTTTATTTTATTATATTTAAGATTTACACAAAGATCTTTAATATTGTTAAAAACACCTTTCACTTTTTCATAGTTTTTTGCCCAATATTCATGGCTAATTTTGGTTCCACAAAAAACATAAATTGAATTGATCTGTGATAATTGATTAACAATTGGAACGAAATATTTACCAACTGAACCGGATACAATTAAAAATAATTTATTTTTCGTAGCTTTAGATTTAATAAACTTCAAACATTCTTCTTCATTTATAAAAATAACAATTAAATTCGTAACGCGACAAAGTTGATTGATTGAATGTTTATCATCTTGATCATCCTCATGAATATATTTATCTAACCATATTAATATATCACTATCATGTAATGCTGGAATTATTTCAGGATTTCTGAAGTCATCAAAATTGAAGTCTATCAATGAAGCCAAATCAATACGGATGTCGCCATTCGTACGCCATTTTTTCAGAGACATTGATGTTTTGTATTTTCTTTGAATATTTACACAATGAATTTCGTTAAACCAATGTCGTATGTTGACGACCACCCACCTGAAATAAGCAGAGCGTTTTCTCTTTTTGTTTTAATTTTACGACGGCATAAGAATTCAAATAGTNCTCGAGGGCAAGAAATGGGTTTCCGAACACTCGGAAACCTTTCTCCCTTGGTTTTCGAGAATACTGTTTTTTTTTAGAGAGTACATTGATCATCAGAAACCCGCTACTTGTTTGTCAATTAACGATCGGACATTTTGATAAATTAACAGTAATGCTTGTATTGTACATAAATATATTACCGTATTTTGTGTTATTAAACATGCTTGATTTCATTATCTTTTGATTTTGAGGAATACATTATCTAAAATATTCAAAATAATTCAAAGATTTGTCAAAGATCTTTCAATCTAAAAGAATAAGAACTTTCTCATTCAAATTTTTTTATTTTAACTATTAATGTTACGTAAAAAAGAAAAATATTAACAAATAAAGAAAAAGAACAATATTAACGAATATAAAAAAAAGAAAAAAGTCTTGTCAGATTTAAATATCGCCTTCCTCGTCGTCCGATATGCTATCGTCTATGTCAACCTCATCAAAAGATTCATCTAGAGAAATCGGCTTCATGTTTTCCACAATACCCATTAATACTGCCATTCTTGCCACCAGTAGTTGATGGTAGTTGGATATTGGATTAGGATAGAGAGACCAAGAATCATTTAAAATCGATCGTTGACCAGAAACCAACACCTCGTCTGATCTTGCATCCAGAATGACCATGTGAAGTAAATCGAAATAGCGGCGATTAATTTCTCTTATTTGAGAAATCATCAAACATCCAGAATTATCAGGATGGTCAATGGTAACTACAATTGACACCTGATATGCAACTTGTTCTATATCACCTATAAATAATGTTTCTGGATTTAATTGTAGACGAATAAGAATAATTGCATCAAGAAAATTTCGACGTTGATTATCTGCAGTACGACTTGTAATAGCATGAATTGTTGCTCGTCTGTGATATAAGGTATTCATGATCAATTCAAGAGCTTCATATGAAGACTCGACAACACCACCGAACAATAGAACAGACCGGATGATGGCAGTTGAACCGGTCCGTTGGAAAATATGACGAACTACAAGTTCGAGTCGTCGTTGTGTACCATTGTTAGTCGGCATATCTCTGAACAAATCATCAGCACTAATATGCTCAATAAAAATCATCGTAGAATTGACAAATGTCACAATAACTGCTACACATGTAGTCACACCTCGAGTTGCTAAATAACGATAAGATGTAGCACTATGCTTAAAATATTTTTATCCCAGCGATCGGTTTTTTTGCATTAGATTACACCAAACTTTAACGATAGAATGATGTTAAAAGAATTATAGACTATAAATAATCGAACATTTTTTAGAAAAATATTTTATTCAAATTTTTCATCAAATGGCATCTTTATTAATACAAATGCAAACAATGAAAATTATAACAAGGAAAGCCAATATTGCAACTTTACTAACATTTCAGTATTCTTTTGAAATGTTTTAAGATCCTCCCATGCACATAATGGGCCAGAAAAATAAATACTATTGATGGAAATGTGTCTTTTCTTGAACGAAGGTTATTCAGACACACAATAAGATTGATTTTAACAATTTATTCTTCGAGTACTGTATAAAAAGTTAATAGTGGTGACGAAGTAGTTAAATAGATGAACTTACTCAAAGAAAAAAAATATTGTTGTATTTGGTGATATACTGATAATGATAAAAAGAGAAAGCGTGAAAGAAAACGAATTAAACTAATGCATATTCATATATAGAACATCCATGTCTAGCGTGTTTCGTTCTGTATATTGAATGACTATTGTCCATACTGCCTATCTATTGTTGTAAAGAATGATTCAAAAGAATTACTTTACTGAAAAGTTGACGAAATTCCAACATCATATATTCATTTAACAAAATGAGCAAAATCTGTGATTTAAAGAAATTATTTAATTATTTTAGTATCGCTTCCATTCTACTAAGCTCAATCTTTCCTCGAACTGGACTAAAAAAAATGTTTCAATCTAATGTTGATACTTGTCAGTAATAGAGTTCTGTACGGAGTCGATTTCAGAGTCGTCGTNATTGTGATCTTAAAATCGATCTAAATGAAAGAAACAAATGGTTTACATAAATGCTTACTTTATCTCATGGAGCTGAGATTACTCTAAATAAAAGAAAAATATTATAATTTCTGTAATAAATACTTGCTCTTCATTGTTATGTTGAGAATTATCTAAATTAAAGAAACAAAAATAGTCATCTATATAGATAAATACATGTGTATTTTGGCAGTGTTTTGATCGCCGGTATACCGCGGTATCTAAGAAAACCGCCGTTACACCGAGGTACTTAATAAAACCGCCGGTATACCGCGGTACTCAATAAAAACCGGCGGTATACCGTATACCGCCGGTGTACCGGCGGTTTCTTCAAGTACCGCGGTATACCGGCGGTAGTTCAAATAAATGTACGACATGGGTAGTGAGGCTGTTCATTTCTTCTAGTAGTTCTTTAGCACACGTTATTACTTTCGATGATTCATCCTAGCAAACATTTGTATCTGGACTCAACGTTGTTCGTTTGTCCTGGTGATGACAACAACCATCCTTATGTTTTTTTCTTTGTCCATGACACCTTGTACTGTTTGATAGGATGTCTTTTCTAGATGAAGAAGTTCATTTAACACGATGATTATATATGTCGTGAGAAAGTGTGGGTGTGGGTATTACTAGAAAGGGTACTTACACCCACGCCCAACATGTTAGTCAGTGAAAAACTATTGATTTTAGATCATTTTTATTTATGAACTTTCGTATTACAAAAATTTGATCGAAGCCATTATACAATGATAGCTATCGATTGAACGGAAGCTGCTTTACAAAATTTTATATTCCATATATGTCATTCCCTATCTTGTAAAACAAAAAATCCATTAGAATAGGTGAAATCGACCATTTTTTGGCCTCTTTTTCGTAGAGCGTCAAAAGGTGCATCTTTTGATAAAAAAATATTGGATATAAATTACTTGCAAGGCTCCAAAAAATTCATGACAATGTACTTATCGGTTTTTCACTCAAAGACCAATCGTTTTCGAGAAAAATGAAGCTGTCGAATAATACGGAAAACTCTTAGATGGAAATATCTCTATCCTTACCATTTCTTAGTTATAATTCAGAACTATTCAATGAACGATAGATTTCACCCGTGAAATAGTATGAAACAAACTAATTTTCGGTACACTTAATATACCTGACATATTTTCTGCAGGAAATTCTATGACTAATTGTTAACATAATGTGAATATAACGATTATCACTTGTTATGAAATGATATAAATTTTTTAATCTTTGGTACGTCAGTTTGAACTGCATTCGGTAGACACTGACAGTGCATGATTAGTTATTGGCCATATACCTTTAATGGGATAGATGTGTGAGTATGAGTGTTGGTTGTCGTGAACAGAAGACTGACAGGCGCACAACTACACGAGAAACATAAAGATAAAAACAGTGGGCGTAAAATTCTGGTATGAATTGAACAGTTACTAATATTTGTTAAAAATATATCATTTCATAGAGTTGTTTTTCTTTTTAAAGGTTTGAATTTTTAATCGTGATGATATTTTGTATGGTTTTAAAGTTCACTTCCTTTTTATTATAAATAATTGGCAAAGTGGAGAAGGCTGTGCGAGTTTGGGTGTGGATATTAACTTCCGTCAAATTCATTCATCCATATGCACCGACACCGAAGATAGTTCCGTAATTCACTGTACTACAACGGACTCCAAGGTTATGTTTAAACTATCGTCTAAAGCTTTTTTAACTTATTTATATTTTGCTATCAATGTGTATCATGAACATACTAGCTATGGTTCATTTTATATAAGTCTGTCTGATGATAAAACCCAAGTATATTCTCGTAATTCAAAATGTGAGTATCAGTGAACATCGAACTTCAAAGCACTGAAGTTGCATTTTTTTTCTCCTCGACTGATGCATATTATTTTACAAGATCTTCAAAATAGTACTACAGATACCATCCGACACAAAAGATTTAACTGATTATTTTGCCTAACGAAATTTATGTTTATCAAAGTATTTACCATATTTTGGTAAAGAATAATTTTTATTCATATAAAGCTTAAATAAAATACCTAGAAAAAATTTTATTTTTTGCTCATAATCATTCTCAATAAACTACTTAGAAAGAAAATAATATTTTGCTTAATACTTCATAAAACCTACTCTACAATTAAGTGTCTTCGGATAGGCCTTCTAGGCAAATGATTTGCTTTATAACTATTTCAAGGCACAGATGATTTCAGGGATATTGGAACTGAGGGTTTTTAAAATTTACTAGATTTACTCAGAAACGTAGGCATACTAGAAAATTCCAATCTGATCTAAAAAGAATCATAATCTAGAATAAAGTGCTCTAAATATTCAAAACTACTTCTTGAATCGATGAAAGATAGAGAATCGTAGTCTGATGAATTAATCAAAATCTACAGTTAACATCTCTTCTTCTTATTATTAATTAGAAGACATTAGTGATCACAACTACAAAAATGACTACATTCATATTAATATGACTATAAGTAAGTGAAGTTATGCAACAAACACACTTTTTTTATTTCTACAAAATCTAAAAAAGACCCACCAAGTGAGAATAGATGAAATAGTTACATTTTATACATATCACAGATAATAAAATATCAATAAACAATTATGTCAAAAAAAAATATAGAAATTCCGTGAGTATGTCAAATTTTCATATATAACGCGTGTTTTCCAAGATGAAAATCATACATATTAAGACATGAAACAATAAAATTATGAAGCATATTTATATCTGTTTACTGATGTGCACGTTTTATTTACAATCTAAAAATAAACAAGATAAATGAAAATATTATTTGCAAAAAATAAAGAAAAAAAACAACTAACTAACTTTGTCTACATTGATTCAAACATATAGTCTCAGGTGGTAATAAAGCTTGCTCGATAGAATTTAGTTTATACCATAAATAAATATGAACAAGTAGAAAACAAATACCAATAAGAAGACCAATATCGTATAGTCTACCTTCACCAGCAATAGTCTTTTCGGTAACAGGTAATTTAAATCGAGGTAAACTCATTATATTGACTGATGAATTTTCTTCAGACTGTTTTTGAGGTATATTATTATCTATTGATTGTTTTGAACGTGTTCCAGATAGTGGCATTGATTTCTGATTAGACTTTTGATCAATATCTGTTACATGATGACTTTCAAGTCTTCGAACTGAAACAGAAAACATTATCTTCGTATAATAGAGAATAGTTTAGTTTACCTTGCTCATTAATTCCTCCTTCTATAGATGAGTTCACATTTTTTTCAATAAATGCTAGAAATAAAAAGATTCAATAATGAAGATAAAAAATAGTCAATCTTCTTTTACTTCTTATAAATCCATTGACATTTTTAATGTATCGTATTTCAGCAGTAACTCGTAATGAACTATGGTCAGCATCATATTGTACCATACAGAATCGTGTTGCAACATAAAATGTATCTGTATATCTCATTCCCTCATTGTATACTTCTGTATTTAGAATGTACATAAAATGTGGTTTTTCTACTTCTAATATCTGTGGAATAGATTATGAGAAGAAAAAAAATTTTCTTTTTAACTAAAATCAAAAATATATATGTATGTATACCTGTTTTTCTCGACAGAAAAGCGTATTAGTACCGAGAACAGATTGACTAATTGTTTTATATGATACTTGACGTTCTCGTTTACCAGTTTCAGTATTTAAATTCCACACACCGAAAGTATAATCTAAGAAAAATACCGTTGGATATTATTATATGTATGTAAGTATATTAACAACGAAATTTACCCGCTAATTTTTGTGCACTATGAAAAGCACGCGTAAATGAATTATCACCAAATAATAATTCAAAAAGTGTATCGACGTTAAAACTAAATAATCGATCTGCAAATGTTTTCCCAAGATGAGTTTCACATGTACATGTACGTAAATGAGTTACATTTTCATCATCTAAATAGAATTCAAATAAAATTCTTTGTTTAATTTTTTTTCACAAATTTAGTCAAAGATTTTTACCTAATTTGAATGAAATTGTACGCCGAGATGATTCTACTGGTCGTGTTGGTGCTTCTATTGATCGTATTAATGATTCTGTTGAACTATTCGATCCTACAGGGCTTGGCTGCAAAAAATCAACAGACTATAAATAATTTTTACTTGAGAGTGTTTAACGAAACTTTTTTTCCATATAGGTTGATAGTAAAAACAATACTCGACATTCCTTTCTTACTGGATTATTCGTCAACTAATATTATAATAATAAAATTTCGATGATAGTTATTTATTATGAGATTTGAAGGTTAAATACGATCAAACTTTTATCTTCGATATGCATCCTCTTCTCGATGTATCGATGCTTTTAATTTCATAGTGTATTAAGATAATACTGTCTCATACATAAAACTGAATTTTCAACAAAACTTGCTATGCGAATATTTTTCTTTGTCAGTTAAAACACAATTTATCGAGACAATAGTATTTTGTTTATAATTTGTTTTTGTTTATATATCGTATTTCATAATAGGTAGCTTTGAGGAGAGAAACAAATCACATCAGCAAAGCTTACGGTATATTAAAAAAAAGCAATTAATCAGTCCTTCGCCTACACCTTGCAAATAAGAAGCATATTTTAAAAAATAAGTAAAAATATGCGTATTGGCAATATTTTTATTCTGTTCTTTCTATGAATTATTTACTCAAGTAAATTTTACCTTATGAGTATATTCATCATTATTTTCTAAAGCATTATATTCTTCACTGTCACCACCCGAGTCATCATGATTATATTGATCAGCCAAAATAAACGCTCGTAATTGTTGATAACCTAATGGCTGAAAATAAAAAAATAAAATAAAACAGACATAGTCATTTTTTTTTTTGAATAATAATAAAATATTACTTGGCCAAGTAAAGCATTTTGCCATAAACGAAATATAGCAATAAAAATCTTTTCTCTTGGTATATAGCTAGCAAATAAATATTCATCTTCATTCTTTTTTCGCAATTTAATTGCATTTGGAAGAACTATAGCAGATTTTTCTCTTGTTACACTAATTATATCTTTATAAGGAATGCGTAACTAAATAAATTAAACTTTCTATTAGTAAAACTGAAAGAAAAATTAATAACTTACACTTTCTTCCCATTTGAAAAAACGTGCATAAAATAATAAATAATTCGTTGAAAGAAAAATTCGGCCATGCATAAATACATCTTTTCTCCAAGCACATGGATAAGCTATAAATCATGATAAGTAATTAAGATAATGAAATATATGTCACCTACCGATAACTAACTGTTCATCTGATGGTAAATCACTGAATATAACATGAAAATCTTCATCACGAATTTGGAAACTCTATATAGTAGAAACAAAAAGACATTTATAATATCAAGGATTCGATATTATCTATCTGATTGATAGTTAGTAAAAAAAAAAGCTACCCCCGAATGATAAATGTCAAATGAATATTTCGTTTTTCTTAGATAAAAACTATACCGTAGGTCGTAACATTTGTCGTCGTTTTTTTGCATTGGATTGATTAGTTATTTCAGTAAAAGTGCTATTTGATTTGATAAATTTTGGTTGTGATCTAGTTATTTTTTTATTTGTATTAGATTTTATAGAATTTCTTTGTCGTTGAATATTTTCTTCTATATCTTTATCGTTATGGGTTTCATTAGGTACAATTGCATCTTGTTCATTGTTTTCGATAAATACATCTACGAGAAAAAACATAGAACTTTTACTTTTTTTATATTTCTTAAATGTTTATAACATACTATTGTCATCATTATGTACGATTTCATTATTATTGAATAAGAGTTCTTTTGAATTTTTGACTGATGGTGTAATTGATCGAGAACGAGTTGCTGTTGAAGTTCTTTTATGTTGAGATTCATTATGATCCTGATCCGATCGTTTATTGTTATTGTTATTGTTATTGGTATTTATATTTCCAGTTATGCTGAGGTTTAATGTTTCATTAGATAAATCAAATGAGTCATTTTTGGATAATCGTTTTTGTTTAACTTTGGTTTTTAAATGATCAATAATAGACGTTGATTTTCGACTTAAACGTCCATGTTGAGATTCATGACGTTTCGTAGATTTCTCTTCAGCCGTTGTTTTTTCTCCATTGTAATCATGACGCAGCATTTATTTTAATTTCTGTATATGTGTATAGGTGAGTAGAAGTAATACAAATGAATAGGCTAATTTATATTCTCTTTAGTTTTCACTTCAGCGATTACATCGAATGAGAAACAAATGATAATATGTACATATATATATGTGCACATACGTGTGCACTTTTCTTTTACTGCGGCAAGCCACACATACTTTCACTTGTTCCCATAGTATACTATTTCATGCTCTAAACGTACGGTACACCACGAAAAGTAATGAGTCAAGTACACACTCAAAGAATGGAAAAGTGTGAACAAATTAGAAAGGAAAAATCAGTATGCGATGATGCTTTTTTTTTTCTCAGCTGCATTTTAGTGACATCTCTTAATAATTCTATAGAGACATTTTTATATTAGTAATAGCATATATGTTACGAAAGGGGACGTTACTTAAGAACCAATTATTAAACCAATCATGGTTGAATTTTTGCTTTTTGTGTCAATACTCTCAAAATTTCTTCCATGTAAATAGAACAATTTTTTGATAAAATTCATAGATTAAGTGAGTATAAACACATTTGTATCAGGATATTGTAGAATAACATTAGAGTTAGTTTTATTTTTTGAATAAAATTCCAAGCAATAATGATTAGAACATTACATATGTGTTTTTTTTTCGTAATTTACACGTTTACTAATTAGAATAAAAAAATCCATATGCCATTTGTTTCTAAGTAATTATTAATGATCTATTTTCATAATTATCTTAGCTGATTTGATATTTTATAGAAATAGAATAAATATAAAGTTTAGCTTTTATTTAAGATTTATAGAACATTTAAATGTTATTTTAATTATGTTTGATAATCTGTATTTTGCAAAACAAGTTATTTCGATTGCAAATCCTTTGAAAGCAATTAGTCACACTTTTCATCTGTAGAAATTTATATACATTGTTTTATAATAATTCGTTTCTAGAACCTTCGTATTGAACATTATGATTTATTTAAATCAAGTTTAATTAGAAAATATATTTTAATAATTTACGATAGTTCGAAGAGTTTTTTTTTTTGTATGTATATTTGACAGGAAAATTATTTTTATTGATATACTTATCGTTTAAGTAGTCATTCATTGATTATACTCATTATTTTAAACTTCATGGACTTTATTGTTCCAGTATATATTTTATGACTCAAGATCAATAGTTCATATATATATATATATACATAGATAGAAAATTAGCCAGGAGAACAAATGAGAACATTAGCACCTACCGTTATTCTCATTAATAATTGTCATTATAAATAATCCCTTCTATACTATTCGATAATGAGGATAGGAAATCCTCAATTATGTTTTGAGGTTTATCACATCGGTTTAATTTTTCATGTAATGTTCCATGAATGATGAATATCTCGTACATTTGTGCTTATTTTGTTGCATTTCGTAGCAAAGTAAAAGGTTGAAGTCGAGGACGATGAAAGAGAGAAAAGGAAAAGAAGACAACGGTTAGATAAATGAAGATGAATAAAAAAAATGAAGTAATACTTCAGTAGCAAAAGAATATGAATGTTACATTTAATACGATACACGAAGGTTAACACGAAAATAAAGTTAATATTAAATAGGAGGTCCAAGAAAACCAGGAGAAATTTTTCCACCACCTGTCCAATCTGTAAAAACATTTAGAGATCTTCCTTGAAATGGTACAGGACTTGGTAGAAGTGGACTCCCCATAGCCGGAGATATCGGAGGAGAAACTCCTATGTTATTAACAATAGGTTGAGGTTGTGGCTGTTGTTGTATATATGGTGTTGGCGACATTGACATACCCATAGGATAAGGAGAAGATAAATAGGGTGAAGAAATTGATGGTGCTATTTGCTGAGGTATCATCATAGGTTCAGGCTTCGGTACTTGTTGTGGTAACATAATAGGCTGAAATTGTGGTATCTGTTGTGGCAGCATCATAGGTTGAACTTGTTGTGGACGCGGTATTATCATAGGTGGAATCTGCTGTGTTGGCAACATCATCATAGGTGAAACCGACTGTGGTAGCGGCATCATCATAGGTTGATTTGGTCGTATGGAAGGATAGGCAGCATAATTATTGTTAAGGTAGTTAGCATAATTACCGTAAGAATAGCCAGTATAATTACTGTATGGTTTTGGCAAAGTAAATTGAAATGCTGGCGAAGGCTGTGGATAGGGAGGTATTGGCGGAATAAAACGATGTCGACCATATGGATATCGATGCCGAGAATATTGATATTGTCTAACAGAGTGTGTTGTTGGAGCTGCTCTTGTTCTTCGAAGTGGACTTCTTCTATGTCTGCTTTCACCATAATTACCATGTTGTCGTACTGGAGACTGATGTCTTCGGTTATGTCCATAACGTTCTCTAGAACTAGCAATACCCATTGCGTTGTATAATGAAAACAACTTGTCTTGTACAACTAAACGTATTAATTAGTAGCTTGTTTCACGCATAGGCAACAGGAAAGAAGAGCATAAAATTATGAGCAGCAAGCAATATAAAAGAATAACGAATGTGTAGATATATGAAGCAAGAATAGTCAGTCAGCCAGAACGAAAAAAAAAGTACACAATTTAGATAGTAACACAAATCAAGTGTATATATTTCTGTGATAATTTAATTCATGATAGTTCTTACATCTATATCTGTATCTATTATCAATGTATTGCACATATAAAGGCTAGCAGTCAATGACATGGATGATTTCTATTCAGATAAAATATTCTCTATAATATGCTTGGAAAATCAAATGAAACATTACCACAAGCAAGAGATTCATTTTATGATAATGATGATGATGATGATGAAAATTCAACAGTACCAGCAACACCAGTTATATCATCAATACGTATAGTAACGTCTAAACCACCTATATATCGTCAACAAAGCCAAAGTAGTAGTTCACCTTCACCATCTTCATGTTATTCTGATCGTGATGTAACAGATGTATCATCACTTGGTGGTGAACATCATCAATTACAACAACAGCAACAAAAACAACAACAAAATCATGGTGATCATCAACAAAAATCCGATCATGATCAACATCATCCATTTCATCTTCAATCTATGAGACATGTTTTGTTAGGTTCATCAGTTCCAACTAGTCGTCCACCAACTCCTGTACATCCTCAACAAGAATTAAATAAAAAACATGTTCGAATTGTTGCTGATGAGACAGATAAAAACCATCATCATCATCATCATCATCATCATCAACAACAGCCTTATATTCATGGTCATACAAAAGATTATCGTCGAGTTCGTTTAACATCATCAGCAATTAATCGTCAAAAACAACAACAAAGAATTGAACGTGACAATTTGGTAAGAAACTTTAAACCAATTTCTTCTAGAAAAAAAGTTTTTTCTTCCTTTCTTTGTTTTTGTTTGACAAACAGCTCGTATGTCTTTCATCTTTGATCGACCCATTAGTATTGATGTTTGTTCAAATGTTGTCTTTTATTACGTTTTATTCACTATTTACTTTTCATTAAAATATAGTATTACTTAACATTCAGCCGTATTTTGCCTAGAGACATACACAAGAATATCAAAGAAAAATGATACATGAAATGGTCTATCACTTTTTTTTCTTCTTTCAATTAAAACATAGCTATTGAGTCATTGTGAAGAAAGCTTCGATTACGTTTTAAAATAAAACAATAGTATTTTATTCGAAATATTATATTTTATTCTTAATCTCTTTTCTTTGTTGAAGAGAATATTAGAACGTCTTCAACATACTCGTGCAACACATACTCTTAAACGTGAGGAACTTCTATCTCATTATGATCGTCAAATGGGTTATGTGTCATATCCTGTACCACCAATAGCACAACAGATTCGTCTTAGTAGTCGACCATCAAGTGCCACTGTAATGTCATCTACATTTTCTACATCAGGAAAAAAATCAAATAATCAAAGTCGACCTTCTTCTGCTTCAAATGGAATGAATAGTAACAATATACGTTCTCGTCCTGCATCAGCCTCAACATCATTACATGGTAGTAGTCGTTCATCATCAGCACGACGACCAATATGGAATGATCGTTGGCAAAAACATGAATGATTTCTTTTTTTTCTTTTTGTTCCTTAATATGTTCAATACGGAAAAAAAACACAATCCACAAAAAATCTCCTTGAACTTTTTGCTCGTGATAATGTAATTGTCGTTGTTGTTTTCTTTTTTTTAAACTTCATTATATTTTACTCTGTTGTATAAACATATCAGTTAAAATCAAACTGACATTGAATAAATTCACTTTTGTTATGAATTTATTTTCAAGACAAATCAAGAAATTGGATATACATTGAAATGCTTTTTTTTCTGTTGAAATATCGAGTAAATTTAAGTATATAGAAATATGTCTTTTTAATAGCATCTAGATCAATAACGATGATAATTGCCAATTAGTAAAGGGCTCACCTATAAAATAATGAGAGGTAAGAAGAAAAAAAAGAACCAAGCCTAATTGTTTTCATATCTCATAAAATGATGTCGTATCCAGATGCGCATTTTACCACATTGTTTCTTTATGTCGACTATTATCTTTCTCTACTATAAACTTAATGGGCTAGGTGAAATGCGCTGTTTGAATAGACACACAAATTGGTCATATATCGGTACAGTTTTGCTTTTTCACTAATGTTCGCATTCGAACTATAGATGGATGGGTGGACGTTGAATAATTTGACAACGGTAACAGCTATCGGCTCTCTGTGTTAAACAATCGAATGAGAAGAACTCCGGACGTCTTTTTGTATTATGCTATATGAGATAGAATTATTTTTAAATCCATAATCTTCTCAAAATGCATGGAAATTGTATTTTGTTTCAAAGAAATTTTTTTTTAAATATATCGAAGATAGAGAAATTTCTAATCTGTAGTTCAAGATACGATCCAGATGATTATCTACTCATATATCAATGCAGAGCAAATAAAACTATATATCTAATTGGTTGAATTATATAGAATTCTATTAATTTTTAGTAAATTTTCTTAATAACAAAACATTTTTTTTTCACTGTTTTGCAAAGATGATAGATTTTAAAATAATCTTTTTATATACAATATCACATAAAACTACGTTCAAAGTTCTGCTCTTTCGATTTCTGAAAAACACATTTCGATAGCTATTATCGTACTCGAATTATTGATCCTACAGCATATCTCTGTTTGATTGTGATGCAGACACCAGAAACACGTTACAACAATGATTTAACTCTAAATAGAAGGAGTCCCTTAAATAGACAATTGTGCTTTTCTGTTGATGAAGATCGATCAAAGCAATCTAACAACGTTAAGATGATAGAAGCTCTGAAATTCGTTAAATAATACTCATGATTATTTAAATATTAATCTGATTAATACAATATAAAGAATTTCAATTTGTGAATATTTTTTGCAAGAACAAAAAAAATTAATTAATTAAATTGAAACAGAAAAAAAAATATCAGAAATTATTTTAAAAATTTATTCTTCACCAAATGTATATCTTACTAATATGACTACAAAAACATAAATAGTTTAAATATTTAGACAAATTTAAAGCGTTGTAACACGTAATGGTTTTGGTTCAAGTTGTTCATCAAATAATTGTTCATAAAAATCTTCTTTTTCTTCTAATTCGTAATTATTATTTTCTTCTTCTTGTTGTTCTTCAATATTCGATGAAAATAATGATTCAGGAGTCGATGACGGAAATTCTGTTATTAAGCGTCGAAATGAATCAACATCGACTTCCAATACATTAAGTATATCAGATAAATTACGACAAATACGTTGTAAAGAAAGCAATAAAATTAATATACTATCCGATGTTAATGATGGAAGGTTCATGATCTTAACTAACCAATTCGTCTAGTCACATTAACAATGATTATTAAAAAAGAAAAAGAAAAAAAAAAACATGATTTTTATCATCTACGTAAATGACATACATTATTAATATCATAGTCAATGAATACATGTTTTTATCATTCTTGACATTTATGTGATAATAGAACCCCTCAAAAAAATCATCTAGGGAATAACATTGTTCATTATAAATAAATAATATGTTCTTAAGGACAAGGACAGACGTTGTGAATCTTGTTTTCTTTTTTTTTGTTCGAAAATTATTATGCTTTCAGACAGAAATTATGAATTAACCAATGTCATTTAGTCTCAATGCTCAAAAATAAAATCGACAAAAAAAAGTTTTTTTTCTTAGCATTAGGAAGAAAAAAAGGCAAAAAAAAATTTAGATATGGGTATCAATATGAATGTTTAGTGAATTCTTCTAAATGAATATGAGGTCTTACAAAAGAACAAGTAGTAGTTGCAATTAAAAGTCCTCATAATCGTCTATAATTGTTCCTTATTTTTGAGATTCTGTCTGCTTCGATTTTCTCTATTTGACAATGAAAATTCAAAATGTGAATGTCAACATTCAATTACCGTTTACTAGTGATATCCTCTAAAAATCCATTCCTTGGGGTAAATCTTCATTTTTCGCACGTCATCCTCATTCTCGCGCTTTTCTGTTTATCATTGAATCATATGTCTGCTAATCGAGGACTGTGAAAAATAAGATAGGAACCACGTTTCTGGCAAACACGCAACTAATTGTCGTAGCGCCCGATTGACGTCGTAATAAGGAAAAGAGGAGAAAATCAGTGCCATGTAAAAAAAATTAGTAGCGAATATTTACTAAAAAAAATATTTTGCCTTGAATCAAAATGCAAAATAATTAATTCTTCTTTTTTACTATTTCCGAAATTTTCTCATCGAATAAGTACTTCATACTACTTCGCCACTATATCAGTAAATATATTTTGATTATAGTACTAAAACTACTAGCAGACTTTCTTTCCTACAAATACACATGTTCACTTTTTAAATATTTTATTTTATTATACTACTAGTGAATTTCCTCTTATTGAAGTAATTTTTAGTACATCACAAAATAAGTACTATAAAGTACATTTAAGTTGTAAGTGTTAAAGCTCAATCTTGATCAATTTATAAGGAAATTTCATACATAGATATTACATAGCAAGGTTTAATTATTAATTATCTTCATAACTATTATCACTCATTAAACAAGAAATAGTCTTATATGAGCTACATAACTATATATGTATCCATTTGAATGTTTGAATGAGTTCATCTCTCATTCATAGGGATATGCCGTTTTGGAGAAATACTGACACAATGAATAGGTGTTCACTAAATGCTAAATCGGTGTTGTCAGTCTTAGACATGGGTAGAATCAACTTTTTTTCCGATCAAAATCGTCCATCTCTAGTTAATGTCAGTTTTTGGTAAACAGTTTACTGAAGTTGAACAACCCCTACTCACGCACTAACATAATAATAAGTTTCCTGTCAAATGTGTTGTATTTTGAATGTGCTGCAGCCTGTTAGTCAAACATTCACTCATTATTTTGTTTTGCGTTTTCATCTGTATTGATAATCAATATAGTTGAATACATTGTATTCACATATTTCAGCACGTGTTTTTTTTTCTATAGTGATAATTCTATTCACAAGTCGTTCACGATTCAATTGACTTGAGACAGGTGTATCTCAATATGACATCATGTCGTAGTTGAAGAATAGGTTTTGTTAACTGTAGTAAAACTAGAAATGAAGTAGTAATTGTTTCTACATGAGAAATTCGGAAAGTAGAGCAAATGTGGGTTCAAATTTCAAACACAAAATGTGGCACAAATGACGATATATGCGACACATTTTAATCATAATGTATGCACTCTTAAAAAAGAAAATGTTACTTTTCTTTGTTTTCATTCTATTGACAGTAAAATGATGTTTGTTTTTTTTTTCTTGAAATTACAAAGTATTACAATGATTCAATAAAAATGTTACGAGTTATGATTATAGAATGCCGCAAAAGTTTTTGTACTTCTTTTCATTTCGGTGTTGCGTATGAAAATTCAATAATATTTTTATAGTAATACATGTTTTATCTTATATTTCTAAAAAATTTCGAAAATTCTGAGAACCAAGAAACAAAAGTGCCACAAACTTTATGTACTTCGTGTTCAATTCGAGTAGAAAACAGGAGAGACTCTAGTCTTGAAGTTTGCTGCATCTCCTTCGATTAGATTCTTTTCAAAAATTCTCTAAATAGAGACACGAACGATCTTCATCAGATTTTTCAATTCATTTTTTTTTTGCTTGCCTTTATATAACGTTTGAATTATGTATTTTACAATTATTTCTACTTTTTTTTTTACCTTTCGACTGGGAAAGAATAAAAAATAATTTTCATTCATCTCAATTTCCAACATATCTTTTTAATAATTCATCAATCTTATCAATTATTGGTCTCAAAACTATTTCATTTATCGAAATCGTTGATTTAGTATAAATTCATACGTCCATCTATTTTCAATTGATGTAAACTGAGACGAATTTCTTGATACGGTAATCTTTCAATTTACCGCTTTCAGTACCGTTGATCACTTACTATATTTGAACAGCGATATATATGTTACGGTCAAAATTGGAATCTGGTCAAATTCTAAATTTGCCCGATCAAAATTGGAATTCCAACTTTGTCTGGACGAAATTACAATTGGACTATATATAAATTGATCAAGTTGAAAAACAGTTAGAGTTTGCATAAATAAAAGCTTTTCATTTTACAAACTATTTATGGATGCAACAAACCCAAAGCTTTGGGATTTGATATCATAAGGTTTGAATTGTAGATTATATTTGAATTTGATTTAGAGTTGTGTTTGGGTTTGAAGTTGGATTTTTGATTTGATTTTAGACCCAATGTGGATTTGGAGGTTTGGATTTGCTGTCCTATGGTCCAAAGCTCAAAGGATCTGATAAAATATGGCATTACCAACAACATTCTATACTAGTGGTGGCAGGGTAGAAACAAAAAAAAATTTTGGCATCTGGAACCGAATCCAAATCCAAGCACAAAGAATTTAGTCCGAAATCCTAAAATCGTTTTTTAGTTCTACCCAATCCTAGTATAGTAAGTTGTTGTTTGTAACATCATATCATACCAAATCCTTTGGAATTTGAACCACTGGAGACCAAATCCAAATCAAGTCTAAAACGAAATCAAATCTAACTTGGAACCCAAACGCAACTCTAAAGTAAATTCAAATATAATCTACAATTCAAACCTTATGATACCATATCCCAAAGCTTTGGGTTTGTTGCATCCCTAAATAGTTTTTAAAATGAAAAGCTTTTATTTATTCAAACTCTAACTGTTCTTCAACTT